TATTTTCTTCAAGTGGATATTTCGTGCGTATGAAAACAGTATTCTTATTCCCGAATGGATTCATCAAATAAAAAGCTATGCATTCGTAATAATTTGAAAACAAAAAAATATGGAATCGGAAAGCGATAGAGCGGAACGATACAATGCATATCACTATCCATAGAATTGTATAGAGTCCGGAATAATTCTAAGGCAATTTATTAGAAAGAAATCTAATCAGAGTGGTTTCTGTATGCGAAGTAATATTCAATCCGTAAGAAGATCATTAATTGCTTAATGTAGAAAGATTGGTACCTCGTGTGCATCAAAGCGATTCACTTTTAGCGTAAACCGTTAACACCGTGAAGGGGTGGCTAGTTGGCACTGCCCCGGCGCGTGGCCTCTAACATCGAACCCCGTTTTTTAGTTTAGTTAGATGATAAAATGTAGGCCTAGGAAATTAAACTAAGTAAGCATAGGAACATTAATTTTCAATTTTTTTATATTTCCAGTACACCAACAAGAGACGTGTCAATAAAAAAGACGAAGAAAAATTATATGTTTTCCTTCATCCAAATGAGAAGGACCGTTCCGCTAATATGGCTGTCCCTTGCTAAGGTCCACAAACAATAGCATGAACATACATACAGTCCGCCCTGCAATACGATACCACTTTAGGGACCTGAAATTTGGAGTGGTCTCGGGGTCCGGTCTCGAATTAGAAACCTCTAAATAGAGACCACGGGCTAAAGTGGTCTCCAAACGGCATAAGAGGATAACCGAACCTGAACCTTTAAATGAAGACCCAAGCTAAAAGAGATCTCCAAATGTCAACATGAGACAACCATCTATTTGTTTCTTATGGTTACTGTTTAAATTTGTTTTACCTACTTGAAGCAGTTTTAAAACACGTTGAAAAAAATATGAACATCATGATGTAAAGCAAACATAACAATTACAATTTATTTGTCTTCTGTGTAATTGAAAACATAAACAACCTTTCTAACTCATCGTAGTTTTGCATTGTGTCCATGTGCTTTTTAAAATAACCGTAAATACCTGTATCAAATTGGGAATAAGTAGCTGAATCAATAACACATTTTGACAAGATGTGCCAAAATTAACATGTCATGCAAAACATTTACTAATTTATTTTTTATGGAGAATTTACAATAGTATACGCTGTAAGTTGGCCGAATCACTTTTTCTCAATTCCATTACTTTTTAAACAAATATATACTGATACCTATAAATTTATGAATTTACTATTAATGTACGAATCACATTGTCTTTTCAATGTTATATATTTTAACAACACTATGCGCTTGTTTTTGTATTGCCTATGTAAATTTCAACTTTTTTGACAATATTTAATTTAGTAATTATGACTGATTTTGAAATTGTTTAGAGGTATAAATATAAAATAACAACTATTCGGCCAGTTTGTCGAGCCGGCCCTGATTAGACTATCACTAACTAAATCCTGTATCTGCCCCTGCATGTGGTTGCAATAGACCTTTCCGCTAAGCTCCGCCCCTTGGATACTGTTGCTAAGGTCTCACAAGTCGGCAGTGTTAAAACATACGCGAACACGTGCGTTTGTGGGACAACACGTGTGTTTGTAAGACGCGCGCGTATTCATAGCGCTGTTCTGATTAGTCAGTTGTTAAGTTTGATTGACACTCCGGAAAGGTATAGGGGGAACTATTTGCAGGTTGCCAGCTGCTACTTGGCATCTAGAATGCCATTTTTTCAAGATGCTTTCACATCAGGCCTACCATGGTCGGACTGAGGTGGCACGTAGGGATAAAATTAATATCTCAAATAACTTTAAATGAGTTCATGTAAAACCGTTTTATGGTTTAGAATTTGCCCAAATTATTCTTTCAGACAACAATATTAGGAATTAGCAATCACATTAACTTCGATTGGATTTGTAAAACTAATAATAATATATTCAATCAGACGACATCGGACGAGGGGTAGGGGTGTCCATGTTTGTAATTTGTTGGGATTCAACAAAATGAACAATTCAAGTGCGATGCAAAAGCGGTGATGATATAGATTAAATATCAATTCCAAACATGTTATTGATATATATGTTGCAATCAGAACCACCGAATTTTGTCCGGTGCTTTTTAGTCTATGGACCTCAGTCGGAGGATCGCTTTGCTCTCTGGAATTACTATTGCGGGAATCCTAGTTGCGGGCCTTCCAGAAGGGTCCATTAATGAAAGAAACTGACGTTTTAAGACTTAGTTCTACTGAAAAATAGCGATCACAATAAATGAGCTTCGTTAATTTACTCCCATGACGCATAACCTGCGATGACAGTAATGTTAATAATCGAAAAAGAAATATATATATATTGGTCCGTCGGGAGGTAAAGGAACTAAAAAAAAAACTCAGTTAGTATGCATTTTAATAAAGCCACAGAACAATCGTATAATCTATAAGATATCTTTGTCCATCCTTCTATTACTCTCCCTTAATGTACATTGAAACTCCAGATGGATGGATTTAGATGGATTTGTTCGGTGTGTAAACACCAAGGATAACCCACGAAAGAAGACTTATTTCTAATGGGGTCCTTCTACTTCTGGTGGTGATTGGGCAGTCCACCGGGATAAAATCCCTTACTTTTTCCCGAAGATTGTATTGCGTTCTAACGGCTTACTTAAACGTCTCATACGGAAGAGGATGCGCTATCGTAACTTATATTTCAGACCTCCAACAAGAGCAGCGATGTGAGTTGAACTGGGGACCAAGTATTCCTTTTTATACTTAATATTTTTTCCATTGGTTGGTTCAGTTCTTCAGATATCCGGTCTGTGCAAACTGGAGATGTCGGTCGCGTCATCATAATCATCATCATCATCATCATCATCTTTGAGGCAATCAAATGCCCAGTTCCAAATTTTCATTTCAAATTTAACGATAAAGTTATTAGTGACTAGCTTATGAAAATGATGACCTTATTCACATTAATGTAGGTCAGGATGAATGTTTGGAAAGCACGAGATTTGTATAAAGACAACTACTGTGACTAGATGATTTTACTCAAATATTGTCATTTGTATTATGAACTACTAAGCTGACTTGCATGTCTGTGTCATGTTACTGGAATAAAGGAGCACTAATTAAATGCAATTCGTGTCTAGTAATTACCAGATTCATTAATTACATCCTGCACATCATCAACCATGAATAGAATAAAATTGATTGAAATCGTTCTTGATTTTACTTCTTTGTTATAGTGCTTAAACCCACGGTCTCGTATAGTAGGCTACATATTATGTTATAAGGCCTCCATGCGTTTCATGATATTACACGGTCGTTGCATGAAAACATGAATCTAGGCCTCAAACACCTCCCCAAAGTGTAATCTATTCTATTGGATGCAATCAGCAAATTTGCATTCGGAACAATAAATAAGGTACCCATTTATACAGTACTTCTGAATAGATACGACTTGGATCACGTGATCACGATCACAGACAATTGGCCTCTTGGCTAAGCCCCGCCTCTTTGATATTGTTGCTAAGGCCCCCACAAAAACATTGTTAAAATATTTTATTTTGGTTTGGTTAAGACCTAATGGTCTAATCCAAGTGTTGGAAAACAGTTTGCTTTACGTAGAATGTTTAACATACGTTTTGATATACGCTTCCAGAATTGACTTAATGAGATCTATTGTAAAAATAAATCGAGTAATAAATATGGTAAAGTAGACATTCCGTGTCTAATTGTCACACAGTTGGGCCATACTGGTCCATGCATATTTGTCAGTTTTACCATTTAATTACGGTTATTTGATTCTGCGATATTTTATCGAAATGTAATGACTGAGAAGAATGATGACAGCCGCTCATTGTTTAAGGCAGCCGTTTTCTTAGGTAGCTAAGAATCAAATGGACGGTCTTTCCCTAATTAGGCCCCCTACTTTCCCCCAGAAACTAATGTAGACGTTTCGGCTGCGATTATCCTTCCTAAAATATCAACACGCCACTGCATACTTATTTCCAGTGGAGTCCTTCTTGTTGATTTGGGAAGTATACACCGGAACCCAATCCTCCACTATTTTCCAAAGTGTGTTCTGCGTTCTTAACGTGTACATGTACCCTATTGCACAAGGACCAACTGCTTAACGTCTAATTCAAAAGACGATGTGCTATTGTAACTTGCATTTCTATAGTTTAATGATTGGGGGAATTTTTGCTCTACTGACGATTTCAATAATATCGGTGGATTTCAAAGCCAAGTTTAGTGTTCTAAAACAGCTGTCAATAAAAGAAACCGTTGATGTGTTTTCGATAACACGAATTAATTAATTCAATTCACCATATTATTACCTTTGTCTATAATTCATTAAGCGTTTAATAAGAAATATTTTTGTAGCGGTAATTATTTATCCGTTATTGGCTAATTGATTGAATTAAGATGACAGATGACCTACAGTGTGTTGTATGGCTGTGTTTATTTCAAGAGACACAAATGATATACTTATGATGCACTTTGCACATTATACGATTAATTGATCATCGTCTTGGTCATTATTGTAAATATATAGTAATTGGTGTAACTTGTATTGTGTAGTTATTTATCATCTAAGTGTGACATAATTAAAAAAACAAAACCAATTTGACAAAATTTCAATAACAAAATGGCAACTGTATAAAAGGCCAACACACAAAGAACTTACACCAATACTAAAAAAAAACATCATCATCATCATCATCAATTACACTACCGTCTTGAACATCTCTTAACTCAAGTGTTATGTAATCAACAAGCTGATAAAAGCACTACCAGGTTCTTTCAAACAGTTAGGCCTATAAAAAAAATCTGGAATAAGGTCATATATTGGTTATGTTGGAATGATACGTAAAGCTTCATCATCACCATCATTAGTATCGCCATCGTGGTCATTATCATTATCATTATCACATTCCTCTAATAATATTATATTCCCACGTACTACGTATAAAACATCAATTCTCAACGTTTATATTTTTTCCTAGGATGAAGTAAAACAGCAGGTAACAATCGTTGCTTGGTTACGCCAGGTATGCATCAATATTTTATTTATATTCATTCAGACAGATAGTAATGTCGGGGAATAATAATAATAATAATAATTATTATTATTATTATTATTATTATTATTATTATTATTATTATTATTATTATTAGGCCTATTATTGTTATTGTTATTGTCATGTATTAAAGTACCTAAAATAAATTATTGAACAATAATTTAATTATTACATGGAATAATATTAATTAGTATTAGAATAATAGACATGTTGGCAAGGTGCATGATGGTAAAAAGCTTTACCTTCCAATCCCTGGTGGTCTTTGTTTACTTCTAGTAAACAATGCATGACTGAGTAGTCCTATAATTTAAAAGAATCAAACAAGGGACTAATTTCTATGATACAAACATCCAAACAATATTAAGTTTTTGCTAGTTTACAGACCGTTTACTACGAAAATCCCTAAATTGACTACAAGCCAATTTAAGGATCTAAGCAAAGATTATCAGAACGCTATATTTATACCTCTGTCAATTGACAAGGAATATTTTTCCCAGATTTTTCTTGTTAAATTTTCAAGTGAATGCTAATAGGAAAATTTCGAAGCCTTAAAAAAAACACGATAACGAATAAGAATACGTCATCTTTATTATCGTCATTCGGCTTCCTTATTAACTTAAGTCACCACATTAGTTTATATGTGGCTTTTGGTACCGTTATACTTCGGTAACTTTGACCATATGAGTTACCTTTTTATAAAATTTCTTTGTATTATCGAAGACACTGAATGTAAAACATTGTTCTTGCATTATGAATGTTTATGTTCCATTTTATTGGATTGCTATGTAATTAACTCTTTAAGTTTGCCGTGTTTTATAGACATGGACTGATGAATTTTTGATGTGGAATCCAAAGAGATTCAATGGTACTAGTATCTTAAGGGTACCATCAGACAGAGTATGGCGACCGGACATAGTGTTATACAACAGGTAGGTCTATGAAATATAATTTATAGACAACATTTGTAAAGGGGATTTGAAAAGCATAATAAAAACTCTAGTGTACACTGTAAAAACAGCGCGGAGAATTTAAACGCAAAGCTCCATGTAATGTTGCCCTGTTTTGTGGTGATACGTTTAAAATCTAAACGTGTTTAGATATATCTTAATGTGCATAGGATCTTGACGTGTCTAGATATAAAAATGTGCTTAGGTATTTGACATTATGATGTCCAATACCTAAGCGTATCTAACACCTCAGAAACCTAAACACATTAGGCCGGACCTAAACACGTTTAGCTTCTGAATTCTGAATCCGTAGCTTGTGGTTAAAGATATAATACCATCCCAAAAGATAAAAACGACTTTGAAATTTAAAATAAAGTTTGAATTACCGATTTGCTAAAAAAAATACATGAGTTATCAACATTCAATATGCAAAGATTGTTAGTTATACTCTCTTAATGTAAAAGAGTGCCTACAGTGATAACTTTTATTTTTATGCTTGAAAATTCACTTTTAAATGAGTGAATATTAATCTTAATATACTGTAAATAGAGTGAAATCTCACTCTATTTCACTCTATCAGGAGTGGTCTCTGTAGGCGCTCTTTTTTCACTCATCTGTATTTAGAGAGTAATTTTTTAAAGCTAATTAGGCCTAACTGTAAGTTATCGAATTATAGAAGTGAACTGTAGCTTGTTGTCTTCTAATCGCAGTTCCTGCCTTCAGGTACTGCAAAGCTGTTAGAGCTACACTAATACCTTTGTACAAATTCACAAATTCTTGAGTTTTGATTTTGCATTGTTGGTGATGATGGTTGATAGTTAACATGGTTGTATTCTAATCCCTGAGTACTAGTTTTGAAATTCTACAATGTTGTAGGGATAAAGCTGGGATCAATTACTTGATTGTGGTTTCCAGTCATTTTTTACACTGTCATAAACAGGTCTGTTTTCAAAGATGAGACATGATTCGTAAAGCATAACTGGGATGCGTGAGAAGCATCACCTTGATACGGAGCATTTTTTTCTAATATAAGAAATGAATTTACAACGACAGAACAAACTACTAGATGAAAATTGTTTCAAGGAACCTTCATTATATTTATTTTATTTCTTTTTCTTCAATTTCTTACAGTGTAAATGAAGAGGACTACCGAAGCCCACTTCCAATTACTATTCAATATGACGGGACAGTATCATATTTGACACCATACATCTACATTTGTTATTGCAAAGTAGACCTAACATTTTATCCATTTGATACTCAAATTTGTCGAATGAAATTTGGTTCGTGGGCACACGACAAACTACAGGTCGACATTATTAGTGCTGTAACGAAAGGGGAAATCGACAGTTACCAGCCTAACGGTGAATGGGACCTTATTGACATCGATATCAACCGCGAAGAAGACAAATTTTCTTGCTGCCCGAATGCATACTCGACCCTCACTTTCAGTCTAAAAGTGAAAAGGAACTCTGATTTCTACATTTATAATTTGATATTACCGTACCTCATGATATCACTGCTTTCAATATTTGTGTTTTACCTTCCACCTGACTCGGGTGAGAAGATGACTCTCTCCATTACGGTTATGCTCTCTCTTGTCGTATTTAATCAGCTGGTATTTGCGAGTATTCCCCCTGCCTCCGACGGCACTTTCCCAATTATAGGTAAGTTCACCAATTATTTATATACACAAAATATTCTGTTTTTTGACACACGATGACATCACAATGAAAACAACATGCCTTTCTGGTGACCCAGGTTCATTTTATGTTACCCGGAGTACATAGTTTAATGTTTTCAATGCTAACCCATAATGATCATTCAAATAAGTAATTACGACAGTAGTTTGTCGTCTTAATAGCCCGGTTTAACATTGTGAATTATGTAGATAGATTATAAATACATTAAGTATAATTATTGTCTATTGCATGGGAATTTAACTTCTCTAAAATGCGAGTGAACTTTCAGGTGAAGAGTTTCAATCGGACATCATTCGCTTTCAAAATTAAATTTTAATGTTCTATAAAATCCACTTAATATGAAATCGATGTAGAGCATTCGATTAAGCATACTAATTAAAATAGCATTAACTTCCATTAGATAATTTTAAAAACTTTTTTTGGAATATTTTGTTCTTCGTTTCTTTGTATATTTTTGCTTAAATTTGAACCGCATAAATCATATTCATCGTGATAGACACAGTTCACTATCCCTTTTTCTGAATTAGCAGCATGCAGTATTTTTCCGGTTCACTTAGAACTCCTACTGTTCGAAATAATTTGATTATAATGACACTGAGGTTTACATAAGAAATGTTTGTTGTTGCAGGGAAATACTTCATCGTTATGATTGCAATGGTTGCGTTGTCAGTGATCATGTCTGTCATTAGCCTACATATATTTCACCAGCAGTCATCCCTCCAGAAAATGCCAAAATGGCTACATACATTTCTCTTTTCGTTTTTGGCGCGCATTATCTGCAACTGTACAGCACCGGTGCAGGCTACTATTCGTCGTACAGATTTCCAATCATTGATACGGAAAGAAACGCTGGAGTTGGAAGAGAGGGCAAATGGATATCATGGCGAAACTGAAGGATTAATAGATGGTACTTACGTATCCAATAATATCGATAATTCGTACAAATCACCAAATTTTTCTACACAATTTAGGAAAGTTGAAAAGGAAATTAAAGGAATTGTCAAAAGTCTTGAGTACTTAACTTTACGAAAACGACAAAAAGAGAAAGATTTTTCTGTAGCTAAAGAGTGGAAAGATGGTGCAGCGATCTTTGATAGAACACTACTTCTAATATTTGTCACAGTTAATACAATTTTCCCTCTTTTCTTTATATTGGCTGCAACCGGATGTTTTTTTTAATGAAAACAAAGGAGCTTAGAGTACTGACATTACGTCGTTAGATAGTTTCATTTATCAATAACGTGACAATAGTGATTTTGTAATTTGAACAGAGTATATAATAAAATAATTATAGTAATAGAAGACGCGCGGAATCAAATCTATTTCAGTAAATTTCTTTTGTGTCATTATTTAAAACCATAACCAAGCAGTTCTATTAATATAATTCTATTTGACATAGAACATTGCGTACCGTGCAGATATGCGTTTACAGTACAAGTGGTATTTGTACTGTACATATTATGGACAGAAGTATCGTAATAAGGTGGAATGCCTACAGGCCTACAAAGACACAGGTGTACATGTTTTTAAATACTTTTCAAGGAAGAAAACCTTTATTATCCACAGACCTACAGTACAGATTGTGCATAA